GTGTGTGTGTGTGTGTGTGTGTGTGTGTGTGTGTGTGTGTGTGTGTGTAGCTGTACAGGATTTCTTCTCAGAGCAGAAGATGCCCAGCTGTTTCTGTAAGCTCAGTATGGACTGGAGAAAGAGAGGCAGGTTGCTTCCTAAAGCCTGCCCCCTTCCACCCAATGTCCATACTGGGTTTACCGTCAGTCAAGGGAGCTGATGTTGAGGTTGTCACTCGTGGTTTTATAGACCCTGGCTCCAGGAGGCACCTGGATATGCCATCTCAAGACCCAAGTTTAGAGAGAGAACCATTCTTTTTCTTTCTTTCTTTGTCTTTTTTGTTATGCGCCACCATTGTAAGGCTGCACAGTCTAAGTAAGTCTGGCCTTTGTCCACCCTCCGTAGTCTGAGTAATCACGACTTAGACCCCTACTCTCAGAGGGAAGGAGGGGAGAGCTGTGGAATGAGGCACGGAGGGAGGAGAACTGGCTCATCAGTACTTTGGACTTTCCCTCTCTCTTACTGAAAATCCCACCCAATTATCGAATTACTGGGGGAACCTGGGCTAAGGATGGGTGGGTGTTTGGCTGAGCCCAGCAGGCAGGCTTCCAGCACCTCCACCTTCCAAGTGATGCGGTCTGGGGATTAGAGCAATGGTGAGGAGCACTCCGGAGCCTGCTGCCTCTCCAGACACAAAGGAGGGGACAGTGAGTGAGTACCAGCCAGCTGGAGGCATCCTTGTTCTCCGGAGAACTACAGGTGCCACCAATTGAGGCGTAGGTTCTGCTCTCTCAGGCCGCCCCACCCACCCTTCCTGTCTGCAAAGCCTTTCTCTGGGCCCTCAGCTTCTCCCAGCTTCTCTGAGAGGCCACCTGTGGTCCACCTGTGGGTGGTGGACACCAAAAGCCCAGGACCCCACCCTCCTATTAGTACAGAGGAAGCGGAGGAGTTGAGATCTAAGCTCTGTCCCCACCAGGGCTTGTAGGTGGGGCTCTGTCTCGCTGAGCTTTCACTGGATTGTCATCACACCATCTCCTCAGGACAGTGGAGCTAATGGAGCCAGGGCCAGCGGGGGCTGCTGCTGGGCTGGCAGCATCCAGGGCAGTGCAGAGAGAGGCTCTTCCTTGGCTCCCTGCATTTGTACTGGGCCCTGTACAGCCAGCTAGAGGGAGAAGAGAGAGGAGGAGAGCCAGAGCACCTTGGATTCCCTCCCCCCCAGGTGGGAGGACACACTTGAGGGATCACTAGCCCTCCTGAGGACCCTGCACCAGGCTTGCTCAGAATTTGTTGGCAAGCACCAAGACGTGAGAGGCCGTGCCTTCGTCTGGATCTCATCACCGCTGGGCAGCAGAAAAGCAGCCTCCACGAGCCTGGAGGATGAGTCCTCCCTTAGTGTGGGCCATTGTAGTTAGAGAGCTTTTCTACTACACTGGAACTGCTGGGGTTCTCTCTCTTCCGTCCTCCCATTTTGTTATTCCTCCTATCCTTGCTTGCCACTTACGTTGGCCCTTTCATTCCTGCCTGCCTACCTTTCTTGTTTGGCCTGGAACTCACTACTTAAATCAGCCTGGCCTTAGGCTTGCTCTCCACTTGCCTCAGCCCCTGTTTTGCAGCAGCTGTGTTTGCCATCACTCCCAGTGTTTCTTTGTGCCCTCTGACTAACAGCCTGGTTGGGGGGGGGACGGGACTGTGCAGTCCATGACACACCTACATTTTGTCTCTTCCTGGGTGCACTTGCATTGCCAGTGGATTCCTCCTTGTCTGGAGAGCAGGGTGTTCCTGGGAGCGCCCTCTGCTGTCTCCTAAGGAACTGTTTTTTTACCAGGCAGTGTGCCCTCAAACCAAGTATGTGAGGGAGTAGGACAGCATCTGTACCCTGGCCACAAGGTGGGCACTTGGTGAATACGTGGTAGATGCTGAATAGTGAGACCTAGTCCCTTTAACCACAGGCCTTGTCCCAGCCCGACGGAGAGCTGAACTAGGATGGGACAGGGGCATGGGGGAGGCCGCTGAGCCAGGATTGCACATGGTTTGTGGTGACCAAGGGAGGGTGTTTGAGGTTTCCCTGTGGAAACCACTTGGAGCCGAGCCTCAAGGGACCGTGGTTTTGATGAGAAAAGACAGCACTATGTATGCGTGGTCCTGGAGGGAAATCATTTTTGTCCAGACAAAGAGATTAGTGAGCAGGCAGGATGGGATCCCAAGGACAGAAGAGGCAGCCCCTTCCATTTCTACCCTGCAGCCTCTCAGATACTCCCTTCCTTCCAGGAACTTCCCTTGACTGACCCTGTGGTGTCCTTCCTGTGACCTTTTCGAAGGACTGGGTCCTCTGACCTCAAAGGCAGAGAGTTTCAAAGTTTTCTCTGTACCTAGACTAAAAGAAATACCTAGCCGGGTGTGGTGGAATACACCTTTAATCCTAGCAGAGGCAGGTGGATCTCTGTAAGTTCAAGGCCAGCCTGGTCTACAAATCGAGTCCAGGACAGCTAGGGCTACACAAAGAAATCCTGTCTTGAAAAACAAAACCAACCAACCAACCAAACAACAAAAAACTCCTAGATCCAAGCAATATTCAGAAGTTACCCAACCTCAGGGATTTGCACACAGGCCCTCTGACATCTAGCCACATCCACAGCCAACACATGCTATTTTAATATTTTTATTTTATTTAAGTTTTTTATGTATATGAGTATTTCCCTGAATATATGCGTATATTTGTGCCTGGTACCCAAGGAGTTTATGAGTGGGTATCAGACTCCCTGGAGCTGGAGTTATAGGTGTTTGTAAAGCACCATGAGCGCACTATGAATAGAACCCAGATAATAAGCAAAAGCAGCAACTGCTTTCGGTCACGGGGTCCTCTTTTGAGCCTCCTTATTTTTGTTTTTTTAAATTTCATGTGTATGAGAATTTTGTCTGTGTGTGTGTTTGTACCATGCACGTGTAGTGTCTATAGGAGCCAGGAAGAGTATCAGATCCTCTGAAACTGGAGTTACAAACAGTTGTGAGCCACCATGTCGGCGATGGGAACTGAACCCAGGTCCTTTGAAAGAGCAGCCGGTGCTTTTAGTCATCAAGCTATCGCTCTGGTTCCACGCCCCCCTTTTTTTTTTTTATTGCTTTTTGTGTACGGGTATTTTGTTTACATGTATGTCTGTGCACCATGGGAAGGGTGCTGAAGGAAGCCAGGAGAAGGTACCAGATCTCCTGGAAGTGGAATTACAAATGGTTGTGAGCCACCATTTAGTGCTGAGACTAGAACCTGGGTCCTCAGGAAGCGCTGTGTCCTTGACCACTTAGCCATCAGGCCAGCCACACCTGCTACTTGAACTTCAATTATTGTAGTTGTTTGAAGCAGGGTCTCTACGTAAATCTGGAACTCGCTGTGTAGACTAGGGTCTTTACTCTCATTCAAAGATATCTGCCAATCTCTGCTTCCCGACTTGGAGGATTAAAGGCACCTGCATTAAGTGCAGGTAGCCCTGCACCTGGCCACTTTCATTCTTCAACAACTGCAGTTCCCCACTGACCAAAAACTCCATCTATAGGCTTACGTGTACACCACCTTTTCTTTTAACGGTAGGAACAGCCTCCGAGCCCAGCCTCACAAAGACAAGATCCTAGAGAGGACTTTAGAACCCCCTGCACTAAAATGAAGCATGCCTGTCCCTGACAGGGATCCGTGGTCGGCATTCTGCACCACACTTGGAGCTTTCTGGGGCACCCCGGCCTGTCTTGGCATTCACTTTTAGAAAGATAGCGCTAAAGCAAGCAGGTGGGACTGTGCCCCAGTACGTGGCTGTTCGGAGCTGACAGGAAGAAAAGAAACGATTCAGCCACCTCTGCTCCTGGAGCTGCCCTTGAAAGAGAACTCTCTTGACCTTGAACTCCGGTTTCCCTCTACTCACGTCTAGCCT